GGGTCCATCAGAGGGATCCATACCTTAAAAGCTATTCGCATGTCCATGAAGTTGTAGATTATTATCATTTCAGAAGAGCAGATATTTTAGAATATGCCCCTGAAAACGCTGCCTACTTTTCTAGGTAGCCAGGTCACTGTGTTCCAAAGTGCTGGGGAAACATCACAAAGAACGTGCCAGGAAATGAGTAGACTTATAAATATGAGAAATGCATAACAAAGAACGTATGGGGAAATACGTAAACTTATAAATGTGAGAAATGCATAACAAAGAAAGTTTGCCGAAATTCATGTGAGAAATACATACCGGTAACAAAGTATGAGGAAATACAGGTTTATAATGTGAGAAATTATAACAAAGAACGTAAGGGAACTAGACACGACTTCTCTTTGTCTTTTTGAAAATCTGCCTGTCTGTGAGGTGAGATGTCTGTTTCAATAGTAAGTGCATGTGAGCAAACATGTGTTCACACAAATGAGCAAACGCTTGGATACACATAAATAATTTCTTTAATGTAAAAAAAGATAAAATCGTGCACGAAATCTTGAAGGAAATCAAGAATGAATGAATTAATGAATACAGTAATCACAAAATACGACGTTATGGTCTTTAAATATAAACAAACAACAAAATAACCATTCGAATTACAGAATAATTCGTAATTTGCAAATGAGAATAATAATATCAATATTGTTGAATAAGAAAAAGAAATGAACTCACTGCCGTTTTCACTGCGACCTCCTGTAGTAATAGGATCGCCCGGGGTAGAGGTGTTGGCGATATTCTCATGTCTGAGTTCCCTGGGTGAGAGAGTGGATAGCGGCTTGATTCCAGACCAACAGACAACGTAGGAATCTAACACCAGAGAGCTTGACAGTTCAGGCTCTTTGGTGGGGGGAAAAGAGAAACATAAAACGCTAAGAGGAACAAGGCTTTTTTTAAAAAAAAAAGAGTTTTACGGTACTTGTAACACAAATAGGTCATATAAAAGTTCCAAAGATTAGAGGTGCTACAAGAGAGTAACAAACTCAAAAAAGAAGATTTAAGGAAATGTTTGAAAAGCAAGAGGGAGCAAATCAGTTCAGAACACCCTCCGACAAGGATATAGCAAGAATCAATCTGTACAGCGGTTGATTTTATTCCCCTTTTAAAAAATGGGTTTCTTTCAGTAAACTCTGATCACGGAGTACAGCGAAAATGAAAGACACAAAGAAAAAGAAAAGAAAAAAGGTCTATTTGTGGCGCCCACCAACCACTCACATAATAAAAATGACTCCCCGCCC